CGAGGTCTCAGGAATGGACATGTCTGGGCAAATAAACAAGACGGCTTTTCCTCTTAATCACTTTTAAAGCTCCATGACTGTTCAAAGGGAAACTACAGCATGATAATGTAAGGGATTATAACAAGTCCAGCAAAAAAGGTGCAGTTCCTGTACTTGATGTAAAGGGGTCTACATTTTATAACATGAGGTAGACTGTAAAATGCATGGATAATGTAATACCAAAGAAATATAACCAAATGCCAATGGATAAATTAAAATGGAATTCTGAAAATTACTCAAATAACCCAAAAGAAGGCCGGAAAAGAAGCACAGAGGGGACAAGCAGAAAACACACTGATATGTCAATATAACTCCAATGTAAAAACAATCACTTTAATTATACTACTAAACATTCCAACTCAAAGGGAGGTGCTGACAAGACTGGATCAAGGGTCCACTATCGGGGTCTACAGAAGCCTTACTCTGACATGGACTGGCCTCCTCAGCTCTCCCTCCTGAACTCTGAACTTGCCACTCTGATTGTCCTTAATGGTACCACTGCCAGGCAGGACTTACTAAGAGCTCTGCGCTGCTTGGTCCCTCTCTCACCACGCTGTGCCCCAGTACACACTGTTTGTTGGAAAATGAGGGAGTCTGTGGGCACCAGTGGGAGAACCTATTCCAGAGCTGGGGCCAGAAAATTGGAGGTGGCCAGTCGGGCAAGGAGGCCATGGCCATAGGGCAGTGCCCTTCAGAATCCAGCCCTGCCCGAAATCCCAGACATCCTGGGGCCAGCCAAACACTGTTCTCATTGCTGTTCACCCACTTCACTTTCCTCACTCAGCGCTTACTTTTAAACCACCTTGATTCTGTACTGAAACCACCTGCCTATGGGGAAGAGTCTACCAAAGAGCCAGTGGGACCTGAAGAAGGCCTACAGGCCGGGTGCGCATCTGCGAGCTGCACTGCAATGACTCCGAGCACACGGTGGGGAAGCCCATGCCCAGGGCTGAAACCTTTCTCTACTATTTGTGCAACTTCCGGTGGTCAATCATCCAATTAAAACCGTCTTACAGATAAAAGGAAATGGGCTTACATGAAGCCACAGGCCCACAGTGCCCACCTGCAGATGCCTTTTGATGCATGCTTCAAGCGCTCAAATGCCATTTTGAGGTGATCTGTACAGTACTTTCCATTTCAGCCATTATTTTATTTAGCATCTTTCTAAAACTTTGTTATCAAATGCCTGGATCAGACAGAGAACATATTCACAAGTTATTGAAATGTATGTTGTTGTTGTTAAGTGCTGTTGAGTCGGTTCTAACTCATCGTGATCCTGTAAAGGGTTTCCAAGGCGTTAAGTCTTTGAGGGAGCTGAGACTCTTTCTCCTGCTGAGCGGCTGGTGGGCTCGAACGGCTGATCTTGTTATCTTCAGTCCAGTACTTATCCTACGGAGCCAGTGCACTCTCTACTGTGAATATACATACTGAAATGTACACTTCCGTCATATTCTTTCATGATAATAACACACTATGTACTGTGTTACTATGGCAAGTATCTGGAGAAAAATGACTCCCTGGGTATCAGTATGGGCATGCAAATGACAAAAATACAGACACAGCTTCCAGGAAACGCCACCCCAGCCTCCTGACTGGACCCTACGCAGTGCCGCAGTGCCCCCTGGAGATGGGGGAGCTCAAGGCACTGTGAGACACACAAACACACACACTCCGCCCGCTGGAGCTTTGCCCAGTGTCAGTGTGGTGGAGGGAATCCTTTAATGTATCTCTCTAGGCTTGTTGTTGTTGTTGTTGTCAGGTGCCATCGAGTCAGAACCGACTCATAGCGACCCCATGCACAGCAGAACAAAACAATGTCCGATCCT